AACTGTTTAAAAAGAAGATTGCCCTAAACAAGGAGTTTTTCCTGTGTCGTGGGTGCGCTAATATAAAATTTCATATACACACGTGTCAGACTCGAAACAACAATTTATGGATGACACAAATAGTTGCTCTGTACGGGAATAGAACCCGCTACACGTTGCGCGGCAGCCAGTTGCTTAGCCACCACTCCAACCATGCCATGCACTCTTTCGAAGCTAACTTTTAGCTCCCGAATCAACAATTTATTTAAAAAAATACTATTACATATTGCGGTTGATAATGAAAATATAATATCTGAAACCCAAGAGACGACGAAAATTTTTTAAAAATATACACATATACAGTCATTTGATATGAATAGTTAGCTATTCTCTTACTTATTAGCTCGTGACTATTACAATATCAAGTCTTCGTATGATATCAAGCATCAGTACTCCATTCACTATTGTTCCATGAACTGCCCGTAGACTAAATGCTTCCGACCATTTCCGAGCAACTGACAGTGACTTGGTCTGCATCCCCGGAACTAGAAACCGCAGGAATAGACTGCACTTTGGCGAATTCAAATATACATCGTCCGTTCTCAATCGGGTCTCTGTGTTGGATATTTTCCTGTATATTGCAATTCTGGGAATTGTGAATACGTTGCCGAGATTGGTTTAGACTTACCAGTCTAAATCTCTTCTCAATGGTGCATATAGTAACATGGACTATTGAGACGGGGCCTTTGGTTATCAGTGGTCATTTATAGACTGTTGATGCTTGATGATAGTGACAATTTCTATTAAATTATTTTGAATCTTCTTTATTTCAAAGGACGACCGGTATAATAATTAGTCCACATTATTGTATTTATATTATAACCTTCGTGAGACATACTAAATTAATTATTATGTTGGTCCAGTTCCTCGTCAAATAATTACGCGAGTATGCCGAAAAACATAATAACATAATAACACATTAAATGAAATTATCTGCCTCGTTGGTCGAGTGGTCGCAAGTGCGATTGCCGGGCAAGGGGTCTCGGGTTCGATTCCCGGGTCGGGCAAAGTATTACTGGTTTTTTATAAAATTTTTAGTAGTAGCACGGAGTCTGGAAATGTGCCCGGTACCTCTATATGGCAATAGGCTCACCCCCTATTACATGGGACTCATAACATAAATAGTGAAAAGTGGGTGTTACATTGTACAGTGGCATAATGTGCACCTCTACCTACCCCTTCGGAGATAAAAGGCGTGATGTTATGTAAACGAAATTATTAATACGATTATTTGGAATATGAAATAAGTACCTAAGGACACAGCATCAGATGACAAACTATCTAATAGTTTTCATATTTCATCTTAAACGAAGACCAATCTATCTTAAACATTCAAAATAGCTTCAAACACTAACTAAGAGCTTAACAACAATGCCGTAGGAACTAACTTAATCTCCGATAAACTTGGTTCACAGTCACCAGGCTATCAGATCTATGACAGTCTTTACCCTAGGAGTTAAAAACAGGCTTCGAACTAAGAACTTTAGGCATACATATCGATAGCTGGAAGAGATTTCAAGCATTGAATACGTAATTCAGTATCCTCCTTCATCTAGTTTCCTACTAACTTTGCTCGCGTCTAACCGTTGAGAGGGAAGATAGTTTCCCCTTAGACAGCAATCTGCAAGACTACTTAGACGGGGATTGGTTTTTGGGGTGGATAAAGAGTTTTATGTATGTGTATTAAGGTGCAAATTCGAAAAACTGACGATGCTATTCTACTTCCTGTTAATATTATAAAGGATAAAGGATATGAGTATGTAATAATGAATGGTATCGCAAAAAGGTGTGTCTGCCACAGTCTATCTTTGTTTGTGGCTCATATACACAAAAACTACTGACCGGATTCGAATGCAATTCCGAACAGCGATTGATTGTAATTTGGAACAACATAGGTTATCTACTTTTAATCCCGATAACATTGATGGACGAAACTAGGTAATTCAATTTATATTCAAACATGTTGGTAGGATGTAGACAATGAAATACGACCAATATTTCGCTCTGAGCTTGAACAAGTATGTAGAAAATGAACGTGAAAAATAAGCGATTTTCCAATATAAAAAAGCTTCAATAGAAATATAGAAATAATATTTACGTACATATTTTAATTAGGTCAATGGAACAGTGCATTGTAATTGAAGACTCGGTCGATCAACTAGACTCCTGCGCTAATGAAGTGGGAGTCTTGACCCATATGTGACTGTCTTTTGCACATGGTATTGGGTGCTAGCTGACGTCATACAAAATTGCTGTATGACGTCACTTAGAAAGACAACAATCGAATCATCTATACATTGTGATTGTTATAGACTTTAGTTAGTTTGACTCGTACACTACACTTAGTATGACTTGGGTTTGCATATGTGACAATAAAGATTTAGTAAACAGATATTGTCTACCATTTGTTGGTTGAAACACTAATTTTGTATTAATAACTGTTTCTGTATTGAGTCAATATTTATTCACATACTAAAAAACTTGCCTGACTGTTTAAATATCGAACTATTTTTCTTTACGTCTGTCTAAAGCACAAAAATGCTTGCTTCTTCACATCATAAAAAAAACATTCTTCAGCCTAAAAATTTCAAATTAAAAATACATATATCCATTATACGATCATGTAAGTGAAACGCTAGAATTGTACCATGTAGGCGCGAGTAAAAAGGCTTAACAAAACACAACGGAATAAAAAAGTCAAAATTTGAAAGGTCATTTGGTACCCTCGTGAGTTTTAACTGCTGAAACGAAGTGGCAAAGCCTTCTGAACTAAAGGTCATGGGTGAAATCTTACGCAGTATATAACACTGATACTACGCTAAATATTTGATGGATGAAGCGTTAAAGCGGAATAATTCAGTTTATATGTATGTGTGAATGTATAAGTGGTGCGACAAGATTAGAGCTTTGACTCCGCAGCGCTGCAAATGAAGGAAAACGCTTTAATTAGCGCTTTATTTGTACTGTACACTCATGGGGTTGTTTCGCAAATCTCCATTTTGAATTTCGTCTGCTTAGCATTTGAATTGCGGGTCTTGATTGAATTTCTTTTGTTTTTATCTCTTTCAGGATATAATACAATCAATATTGACGCGCTTTATGATTGATATGTGGATTGGCCAAGTGAAACAAGTGAATAGTGAAACAATTGAATTTATTTTTGCAAATAGGCTACAAGGCAGCACTTTTACACGTCAATTTTATCAAGCGAACGATGAGGTCGACATATCCTAATTGACTACTCTGAGAAGAAATGCCGAAACAAACTCAGAGGTCTGTCTCTTTTAATTTTTAAGTCATCTTCTAGCTAGGACATTAAGTCGAAAATTCAATGAAAAGAAAATAAAAATTGGTGTAGGTTCAAACATTAAAGTAACAAAGTATGTAAGTAGAATACTTATGTTGAGTTATCAATAAACTTAAGCCAAGTTAGTTCACATTTCTGACCTACTTAGAGAATTAAAGCTAAAGTTGGATTCTGTTCCTTCAGTAACTTTTCTGTTACACAAGTGTACCTATACCTACAAACAATAAACATGTAAGATATACAATCTTTATACGCATAGGGCACAGATGTTGTTCTGCTATAGAAAATACGATATGCGGGTCTCTTAGTCCCGAAAGTTTTCATACGGCTGGATGAATTTTAATGAATGAGGTGTCTATTGATTCCTCTCGTGTGCGCGGCTCAATGAGCTTGAATATTGTTCGTATACATATTATCTTTCTAAGATTATTTAGACACGACCGACAAACGATAAAGGAAAACATCGTGAGGGAACCTGGACTTATAATTTCTAATTATAAGTTTGAAATCGCCAACCCTCATTGAGCGAGCGAGCAAAGCCTCTTCTCCGTGTGAGAAGAGGCTTTGCTCAACAGTGGGCATTTAACTATAGGCTGTTAATGATGATAATTATGATGATGATGATATATTATTGCAGTTACGAAATAGGAAGGTTAATAAATAAATGAGTAGATAGACTATTCGAGTTACCTAAATCAATCGACTGGTATACTCTAACTTCCACAAAGGCTTCATTGTGATTCAACGCACGTGTTTGGCGCAGTTTAGTAGGTGTCATATTTTGTCCATTTTTATTATTGAACGTGTTATATTTTCCTGTATAGTCAGACAGTATGGCCGATTGAAACTGGATTTCCTATATGATCAAGGACGTTGAAAAAGGCGGATATAGTCTCTCGAAACAACGACTGAGGTACTTGGCTACTATAGACTTACACACACACTTTCGCCGAAGGACATTTATCACGTGACATGGCGCGTCATTATATGTACTTCATACATTACGATGTTACACGCACACATAAATGCACCACTGGATTTTCATCATTTTGGTGCTTTAATCATTTCTAAGTGACAGTACGTCTGTCTTTTTCTTCAGCATCTCTAACTGAAAAAAATTATAATGAACCTGAGAAGAGCATTTGACTAATTTTATTTTCAGTCCTTTATCGTATTTGTAGTCTATAAATAGGTACGTTATGAATTAAATACAATGATCCGTAGGTCTAATCAAATAGATTTAATATTTAAAGGCCTTCAGACTAAATCAATACGTCCAAGTTTGAAACTGACCTTTGAGGCTGTCAAATCTTGATAATTAGTACTTACCATTCATGTCTCGGTACCAAGTTATTTTAGGCGTAGGTACCTTCTAGTTATCCCAAAATAGACTTGACGTGCCCTTAGGTGGCCTAATGCTACTTATGTATTTTTGATACCCAACAATATTTTTTTTTAATGAGAATATATATTTGTCTTTTTTATATGGCATGTCGAATTGTTAAACAGCTTACGCTCCAGCTGTGTAGGCTATATTTCTAAAAAAATAATTAAAAATTCTTCTATAGATTTTTTACCCACCTCTTTTAAAATTTCGCCTCGGGAAGCAAGATTGTGTTGCACATTAATCGACAGATGCGACAAAAATACGAACCTTGGTGGCATCAGAAGCGGCGACAGGCATCGTGGTGGTGCGTGCCTTGGACTTGAAGGCGTCGGAGTATCAGCCAATGATGCCAAGGATCCGTGCGCTAGCGGCGCTGCGCGTACGTCGAGCGAAGCGGCACGAAGCGGTGAAGGGGAACGGGGAGCCCCACACGCCCCCGCCTCTAACGTCCGGCCATCAGGGGCGAATGTGCGTATTGCTGGTGAAGATCCACGGTGGCTCTGTTTGAAAATGAGAAATAAAGTTTTTTTTATAATATTTCTTTTGGAGTGAAAACGAATGTGCTTTCTTTGTGGAATAATTAAATTGTAGATAGAATATATTCACTTTTAAGCTAGGTACTGGTTTTCAAACGAATTTTATTTAAACTAGTTTTTCTCTTAGTTCAATGAGTTCTGAATCTGAATAAAGTGCAAGTTTCTTAATAACAAACGAATAAACTGTATATCATAAAAATATGGATATATATATTATGTATTTTTTTAAACGTTGCCCCAACATCAATAGAATTATCGACATTCAAAATTAATGGCATTGATTTTAGGTTACTGTTATTGCAGTCTCATATCAACGAATGTAGTATCGTGCCCCTATTTATTACACATCTATCTATACAATAATTAGATAGGTCTAGACAAAGATCCATTTGTGACATTATATTTCTTCAGGCAGAATTAAAAACATTAAAGGCTAGCAGTAAATAGTAGCATTATACGCCGTAAAAAATGAAATCAAAATTTTATAGAGTCAACCCTTTAACCCCCACTGTAGGAACCCACGACTCAGTGCGTAACACAAAGGCTCCTGCGGCAAAGCCCGCCTCTATTATTCATTGCGTTTTCTCTTTACGTAAAAAAGTTTAACACTTTATGTTATCTGTGTTCCAAGAACCATAGTTCTTTGTAAAAGTTCCGTTTTTTTCTTTTCACAGAGTTCGAAACGAAATTTAAAACTCGGTTCTCGGTGTTGTTTTAAAAATTCATTAGTGAGGTTTCAGAATTTGTTTTAAAGTATGGATGTTGTTGGAAATGATATTGTGTTTCAAACAAGGAAGTAACCCGTTTTTATATGATTAAATTGTGAATAATATATTATTATATTTTTTAAAGAATCTTGAACAGGGATGTTGTTTTCGCCAGTTAACTAACTTAGTTTTTCATTGTAATTTCATTTTGGGTTCTGTAGCTATTTATTCCAAGAGGATGGCTACATAACACAGGTGTTTTTTTCTAGATCTTTGAGTTTCTCTATAAAATTCAGTAAATGGATAATTAGAGAAAACAAAGTTATTACTCGTGTGAGTGACATAGAGAACATTCTGCTCGTACACGAACTAAGCCAAAGAGACGACATCAGCAAAAAAAGTAGGCTTTATGTGTCATATTTTGACCTGTAGTCCACTATTCCACACCACACTCATATCAAATTCCGTCTATGTCAATGAAAATACAGAAATAAGCAGTAATATCACTCTCGCTCGAATAATTTAAAATGCGACCGTCCGCCTCTGACGGGCAATGATCCTTGGTACATTCCTTTTGTTGTATTATTCATACATTTTTACGCTCACCTCTCTCCATTATAACACACCCTGTTACCCTTCGAATCTTTCAAAGATATTCAAACCGGACTAGTAAAACAAAATACACTTTTTTGTACATTATTTTTCTGATTTTTTTTGTGGTTTTTCTATTGATGCTTTTAATTGAAGATTACTTTTTTTGTTGGGGTATTCGGTGGAGGGTTACAAAATTTAAATATCAACGTTTGGTTTTACGATTGTTTCGTGATTCGCTTGAGTGGTTTTTCTATTCTAAAGCATCTGTTATTTATAGAAAACCAGCAACAGATCCACGAAATTTATTACTATGTTAATGGGGTAAAGTTCAAATTGCCTTAGTAAGCACGAAGTAGAATAATGGTGTGTTTGGCAATAACTTCGATTTCAATGTGTCTATTAACTTATCTGGTGATTAGTATCATACACTTTTACTATGATTACTATCTATCTATTCGTCCAAGGAATGAAATGATTCGATATCTATTAAACATGGAAGTTTACTCTTCAATACATGGACTACAGCACTGTAAACAACTAGTACATGTCACAGTAAACATCGATAATATTTCAAACACAAATATCTACTATTACAACTATATTTTGATGGCTATGCTATATGTATATCGTATATTGTATATATGTAGGACAGAATATATCGAGAAATGGTTATAGTTATGATTCATAACTTTCAACGTCGGTACCTATTCTATAGGGTATATAGTCAACCTTCTTTGTTGTGTTTATTAATTTACATAGTACAGAGCTCGTAGCAGTATTTTACCTATTGGTCGTTTTGACGGTACCTAAGTACCTACTACTCTACAAGATCTTACTCTTTGAAGTAAGACGAAGAACTGTAATTGATATTGTAATATAATAAAACGTTTTTTGTTTATTTATTCTCACCTGCCGAGCATGGACAAGGAAGCCCCTTTAGAAAGTCCATAATAGGTCTGACTTGGACTGCTTATGATAGACAATAAGATTGGAGAATAATTTAACTCGTCGAGTACCGGTTTTGTAGACACAATTATAGAACAATAGGTTGCGGTCACCGGTGACCGCTTGGTGTTTGACAGTTTTATACAAAACTACATAACACCTAATCCGTATATGTTATAATACCACAGACTTAACTTGACTTATTGAAAGACCACATATCGATTGGTTTCAATGAAAATTTATAGCCAACTCACTGTTACGTGTTCACAAAAGTATCGCGCTCACTCACTTCACGTTGATTTTATTATAATGCTGGTTCTGAAGTTGGATAAAATGCTTTGAAACCGACGATTGTGCTAAATTTAATGTAACCTGGTATTGGAGCAAGATATATTACTGTGGACGGGTTTATTATGGACAACTTGTGGCTTAAGGAATGGGGGACTTTGGGATGTCTTTAAGATGGATTTGTTAGGGAATTGATGTTTAAAGTAGATAGAATGGCGTGTTTTTTATTTCCCAAGGGGTCAATTAGGGGTTGTGTAAACTGAAAGTGCTTACAAAAAATAATTATAATCTTTAGATGTTTCTAGGAGGAGTACTTATTTCAGTAGACACAATTTTTGCCAGTTTCATATTCGGCTACGGCCTACGGCTTACCTTACTGATAGAAGGTTAGCAGGTATTTATCATAGTTATTTAAAAATATTAACAAATCTTAGTTGGATTCTAGTTCTCGTATTTCAAAGTTGTTCCAGTTCAGACCCAGAAAGTGCTTTTGTATACCTAGTACTTGTAAAATACCTTGACGTGACACGGGGGGAAAAGTAAGAAATGTCAACATCTGTGATCACAAATACTACACAGAAACCTATTTAAAAGGTCAGTCTATAGTAATAGTAAG